GGCTATTGTTTATATACAGTGGAACTCCCGTTAATCTGGTCACTAACGGGCCATGACAATTTGGCCTTATCAAAGGGGTGGCCGTGTTAACGGGGTAGGGTTTGACTCGTCCCCAGTCTTCTTCACATAGCACACGGCAGCGAGGAGGGGGAGAGATGGGCACCGAGAAAGGGATCTCCTGTATGAAGACGACTGGGAACGAGTCAGGGGTAGGGTCAGACTTCATGGCTGATCTAAATTGAGTTACATCTTGACAGAAATATCACAATTGCACTTCTAACAACTTTTAACAACTTTCCTTTAACGCATCAAACTAGATATAATTTTTTTAAAACATTGAAGCTTCAATCTGTACATACAATATTAACAATGGCCTGAGTGGCCGTATAAACAGGGTAAAATTATAAAGGATCGATCATGCAGACTGGGATTTCAGAATGTGCCATGGCCGTTGGCCGTATTAACGGGGGCGGGGGCGGGGGCGGGCGGTTCGTATAAGAAAACGTATGGACGTTTCGCTGAGACAAAAAAAAGGTGGCCGTAATAACGAGCTGACCGTAAGGCGAGGCCCCCGCCTTACGGTCACCTCGTTATTACGGAACCGATATAACATTCAGTGGAACCCGGGTTCCACTGAATGTTATATCGATCTGCATAATGGCCTCAGTTTACAAGTTTTCAAACTGAGCAGGATCTGGGGAACATACGACTGAAATTTCAGGCTGGGGTTCAAAACCTTAGCAAAGAAGAGACCAATATTTTAACGGGAGGGCGAAAGAAAATGAGGGCTTAACCTGGAACAGACTACTTCATGTAGTATTCTTGCGTCGTGTGTGTCAACAAGTTTTGAATTATTAGAAGGCATATACGGGGCAAACATTAGCACATAAGCCTGCGAATACAGCTGCACGACGGCACAAGGAAGGGAAGGGGTTAAGGGTGCCGGATGAAAGGTAGGTCTATCCACAGGTGCAAGCATTAACGACAACCATGGGCTCCTAACGACAACGATTAGCATAAACACAAGGTGATTAGCCAGGCACCGTGCCTGCGTAATCATGGTCGACGCACTAAAACAACCAAGGTATTAGTCCATGGGCCAGACCACTTTTCGGTACCAAACCTAAGGACATAACCTAAGTTTTATCAGCTGATACTACTGCATGAGTTGTTTTCAAATTTGTATGATAACCTTTCTTAATGAGTAGCTTTGTGTGAGATTTTTTAATTTAAAATTTCGCAAAAAAATGCCTTCAACATGGAAACGAGGCTCAGAAGAAGATCCTCTAAATATATGGTCACGATTGTTTGATCAGTACTTTAGATATTTGAAATAAAGGAAAACATTTTATTTTTCCTCGCAGTTGTTAGAAGTAGAAATTTGTGTCAGGATTACACGAAAAACTAAAAAACAACCAACGGTGTCATTCATATTGCGTCATGGATAAATCCAAGATGACGGCATTCTTGACAGGTGTGTAGGGCTAATTC